ATTTTAATCATTCCCCTTTTTCTCTAGATCAATCTAGCTTAAGATTTGTTTATTTTGTTAATCTTTCCATAGAGCCTACTTCTGTGTTTGACTTTCTATTCATCATTTCATAAATTTCTGCTCAATTTTTAATTATTTCTTTTCCTCCTTGCTTTGGATATAGTACCTTACCTTTCCAAGTCTGTTTAATAAAAGGTTAAGTTACGGACTTGAGAATTTTTCCTAGAATTGGCATAATTTTTACCATTGTTTTTCATGTTGTTTAGAAGCAAGCCATAATCTTTGGCCATTTTAGGCTTTATATAATGTCCCTCGATATCTTTAGTAATATTTTTTGTTTTCAAGTCTATTTTGCTGATATTTGTATCATCTCACCATCTATCTTATGGGTGCATCTTTCCCATGTTTTTACTTTCAATCTGTTTGTATCTTTAAATCCACAGTGTGGTGTAAACAGCATATACTTATATCATGGCTTGTTTTTAAATCTGCAGTGACAACCTCTTCCTACTTCTACAAAAATTTTATCAAGTGTTAAAATGAAGATAAATGATGTCTATATCTTTATGGGGAATTGTTCTTGTCAATTACAAAAATGCAGGACTTTCTATATTGCTGGGCTCTGTTCACTTTCACACCCAACCAGTTCCTGAAACTGTTTAAGATGGTAGGAATCCAATTGATCAGTGATGACATCATCACTCACTGAAATTTCTGCCTGGTACTGGAGGCAGCTGTCAGTTGGAGAAAGGGCCTGCCTGGCTGCTTTGGAGAGGCGGGCTGCGTGGAGGCAGCACAGAGGACTCAGGCATGCTGCGATCCAGGGGTGCCCCGCAGACTCCCTCGGATGTGTGGGTGCTGCATCCAGTGTCAGGAGGTGAGCTGAGAGCTGTGGCATCTCCAGACTTCCTGATGGTGGGTCCTGCAGCACGCCCACCCCCCCCATACCGTAGACAGTCATGGAACCCTGGGGAGTCTCCCACATTGGCCAAGATGGTGCAGGGGGAGGTTCTTAGACTGAGCATGCCAAAAGCTAGAAAGATAAATGGACAGGGGGAAAAGCCCACCCCTATAAGAACTATAGGCTTGAGCAGGAAGAGGGGGAGGTCTTTGAGACAGGAGTGCACCAGGCTGAGGTACCTAAATAGACCTCTTTCCGTTTGCACCAGCTCCTGTCTCATACGTTTGGCCTTTGTTGTGGGAGGCAGCTAAACCCACTTGTTTAGTTAAAGTTTTTCGTAACTCAGATGGAAGAGCATGGACCTCAGTAAGTCCTGGAGGGTCTGGGCTGGGGTCCTAGCTGCCTGTGGCAGGCCAATCGCAGGAGTGGGGCTGCAGGAACTTCCCAGCAGCTGCCAAGGGCTTTTCTTGCAGAATTTCTCTGCTCTTTTTCTCAAGGCATCAGCTAGTGAAAGAAAATGGGTTTGTGGGGGGCAGACAGACTTCAAGGCTGGGTCAGTTGAACCAGGGTGCACACCAGGGATCCTCTATCCCTGCCCCTTGGGCTTTGTGCCACTTGGGTCTGGTTAAAACCACTTGAGGTACCAGTTGACAGGCTAACTGTGCCCCTTGGGTTTTATGCCACTTGGGCTTTGTGCCACTTGGGCCTGGCTAGGAACATTTGTGGTACCAGTTTGTAGGCTATCCCTGCCAGTTGGGCTTGTGCAACTTGGGCTGCATGTCATTTGGGCCTGGTCAGGACCGCCTGCAGCATCGATTGATAGGAGATAAGATGCTAGGACTTGCTTGTGAGTGTTCATTTGGGCTAATGGAATTATGGATCCAAGTTTGTTCATATGTTCCCACTTGGGAGTCTTTCTGTAGTTACGCTTTTGGGTTAGTACTTTTGTGCCAACAGAACTTTTGTTCTGTTTCAACTCCTGAAAAGGGCCCACTGGGCTGAATTTTAGCCATCGGTCCATGTAAAGCTATGATCCAATGACTAAGAAGGAATTGGTTATTAATTGTACCACTGCTTGGCCTATGTATACTAGCAAGATGATTGGACAGAAAAACAATCCCCCTCCCCTCCCTGTCCCTATCAGAACTGCAGGCTGGAGCCGGAAGATGGCCTTTGAGACAGGAGTCCAACGTCCGTCCAGATCGTGGCAGCTGACTAGAGCTCTTGGCGTTTCCACCAGCACCTCTCCTCACGAGTTTGGCTTTTGCTGTGGCAGGCAGCCAAGCCTGCATTCCAGTTCCATACTCATGTGGAAGAGTTACACACACCCCAGACTCCTTATTCTATTTTGTTATTTTTTTACATTCTATCACAGCTTTCATTTTCATTTACAAACCAAAGATTTATCACTTGTTAACCATCTCTCTCTTCCCACCAAAATATAAGCACCAGGATGAAAATAACTTGTTTCATGCCCATATTTCCAAATCTGACCGTGTCTTGATTATCTGTGCTCAATGTGCTAAAAGTGCGTGGCATGAGGGCTTAGGGGTGGAGGGATGGAGCAAAAAAGAAAAAAAGAACTCAGGGTCATGGACCACAGCAGGGTGGCTGCAGGGGGCGGGGTGTGGGCAGAGATGCGAGAGGATATAGCAGGGGTAAATGATAATGGAAAAAATAAGAGAAAAAGAGAAAGTGCATGGTATAACAAGGAATACTGAAAAATTAGCAGTAAGAGTGTAGCCTCTGAGAAGTAAGGTTTGGTTGAAATAGTGTTCCTCTCTCCATTGCTAGGTTTCTGGGGGTTTTTTTAACTTAATCACAAAGGCCTCAGTTGAGTCATAAAAAAATAATATACTGTGCAGTACACTTAGAAATAAATTTATATTTTTAACTGAGTACTTGACAGTAAATGGTGTCTAATATATCATAAAAAATAGACCAGCATTTAAATAACAAAAACAAAACTGTTGCAGAAGACTAGTTAGTACCTGGCTTGAAATCTTTGCAAGGGCAAGTCTTATCTTGCTGAAGAGGAAAATATCACATACCACCTTCATCAAGGTAATCAGTGACCAGAAAGTACTAAAAATTATAATGGTATTTTATAACCATCTCTAAAAATGGTAAAGATACAGTTCCAAATCATAATAATGACCAGCCTTCCCTTCTCCATACTAATATCACTGACTAGAGCTTCTTACAAATTAAGGTTAGCTCCACTATATTGTTTTTACCTTCTAGAAAACAAGCATTATGAATGGCAATGACAGAATAAAGTTTACCTCTTCACAGTATTCAGCACAGGAAAAAGTCTTGTTTCCTTGAATAGAAATTATAACCTCTAGCACACTATCTGTTAGCATTCCACAGTTTACAAAACAGTTAATAACATTTTTGTATAAAATCACAAGAAAAATGTTTGAACAAATGCATACTTTTAATCACTTATAATCAAACATAAATGAAACCACTCTGAGGAATTACATTAAGCTACAAATATCAGAAAATACCCAATATTCTTGACAGAAGGGAAGTGTTTACTGTCCTATTAAAAAACCAGATCAAGCCAAACACTGCAAAATGCAGTAAAGAAACAAAGTCCCATGTTTTTTCCAATTCACAATTGTAGATGTCATGGTGAATGAGGGCCGCACAGTCTCACCGGCACCGATCACAGCACAGGCGGCTTCCCATACATATTAGACCGCACCTGGGGAGAATCTAGAAGTGAGGGAGACCAGACAAGAGTCCCCTGCGTGACCTGGTAGACACAAGCAGAAAAGGCCAGACCCTAAAGGCTCTTAGAAGTGAATCTTTTGAAAACACCAGTGGAAAACTAAACCCCGAAGAAAATGGAAATCAAACAGATCGTGGCTATTTTGAGAATACTCTTAACCAGAAAGGCGAAGAATCTAAACAAGGAGCAGGAAGATGGTGTCCTGGAAGCCCCTGCGTATTAGCCTCTCTCCCCGTACGTGGCTCTGCTCTGTGACTGATGCCATCCTTATGTCGGCCTTCCCCATCTCGTGACGGCCAGGCTGCTGGCAAAGTCTAACGTGGAGCCACAGGCAAAACGAACTGCAGAAAATCTAGTTCCTAACATTACCTACAGGGAGAGATCTCCAAATCTAGATTTTTGATCATATTACAGATCTCTCCCCTCCCATCAAAATATATCCAACATGCCTCCCAGGAAAAAAATCCAAAAGCACAGTCAAATATAAAAGTAATAAACATAAAAATATGTTCTTTCATAGTCTTGACATACATAAAAATTTACTCCAACTTTTTATTGCTAAGAAAAAGGAGGAAAGCCTCTTATACCATAACCTTCTGAAGAGGAGCTTTGTCAGTAAAAAGAGAGAACATATACAATACAAGAGAGATGCCCACAACATTCCACAAAGCCAGTAGGAAAATTCAAAGAGCAAAATCAAAACTAACAAACTGCCATTTTTTAATACCCCCTTAACACAGCACAAATAATACATCATAAAAAAAATAAAAATATTATATTGTAGAAGTACACTTGAATTCAGATCATTTAAATCCAGTAGACTTCAAACAGTAAATAGACAATATTATTAAAATGAAAACTCACTACTTATTAATATGTAATATTTTTGAAAGACAACTCCTAAAATTACATCACTGCAATACTCATTTCTGAAAGTATTTATATTTAATCCTTGAACTGCAAGAGTTCATTTATAAATGGCAGTTTAAACACTTGTTGTTAAAAAGTAAACTGTAGTTTTCATTCGTGGTTGAAAAACCACGTGGAGAAGTGGCTTAAATTATACAAAGATTGACTACAGGGACAGTTGGGGCCCCAATCCCTATGTTGTTCAAGGGACAACTATAGGAGAAACCCACATTCCAATAACACACTGAGAGAAACTTGATAAACACAATTATTTTTCATTTTGATAACTCTTTTACCTTACAAGTTTCCTAGAACATTATACAGAAATTAATTTTCATCAAGCCTGATCAGGCTATTTACATTTTTATTTTTTTCACAGATAAAGATGTGGGCAAACTGAAGTCTTTCCCACACTATTGATATTCACTGTCAATAGTGAATCCTTTTTATTCAGTGAATCTTTTCATGCCTTCGTAAAGAAGAGTGATCAATAAAGCCTTTCCCACATTCTTCACATTTAAATGGTTTCTCTCTAGTGTGCACTCTCAAGTGTAATTGAAGGGTTTTGTTACAAATGAAGGCTTTCCCACATTCCTTACAGTTAAAAGGCTTCTCTCCAGTATGCTTTCTTTTGTGTATTTGTAAGGAACTATGATCTCTGTAGGTTTTACCACATTGTTTACATCCATAGGGTTTCTCTCCAGTGTGAGTTCTTTCATGTCTTTGATACCAGCTAAGTCGGGTGAATGCTTTCCCGCATTCCTTACACTGAAAAGGAGTATTTCCAGTGATCATCTTCATGTGTACTTGAAGGGAGCTGAGATAACTGTAGGCTTTGCCACAGTGTTTACATTCATAGGATTTCTGTCCTGTGTGAGCCTCTTTATGTGTTTGTAAGGAACTGTACTGTTTGAATGACCTTCCACATTCCTTACACTCATAGGGTTTTTCTGCTGTGTGAGTCCATTTGTGTGATTCTATGGAGCTGTAATATCTGAAGGCCTTCCCACATAACTTACATTCATAGGTCTTCTCTTCAGTGTGACTTCTTTCATGTCTTTGAAAACTTCGATAATTTCTAAGGGCCTTCCCACAGTGTTTACATGTATAGAGATTCTCTCCAGTGTGGGCTCTCTCACATGATTGAAGGGAAGTTAAAGAACTAAAGGTTTTCCCACACACCTTACATTTATGAAGAGTTTGTGCAGTATGTGTAATCATGTGTTTTTGGAGGATTTTGAGCCCCGTGAAGGTTTTCCCACATTCCTTACATTTATAGTTTTTCTCTACATTGCGAGTTCCTTCATGTTTTTCAAAGTACTGAAGAGAACTAAAGGCTGGCCCACATATGCTACATTTATATGGCTTCTCTCCATATTTCCGATCCTGAGAGAATGCATGTCCAGTGTGACATCTGATTTGCCTATTGTGAGATGCATGATCCATGAAGACATCCCCACGTGCTCTGTAGTCATATGGCTTTACTCCAGGAAGAGATGTCTTGTTCAGATTGAGATTTGGAGTAAGACTGACATTTTCTCCACATTGACTATCATTTTTCTCTTCACAGATTTTCTTTAATGCAAGAATTCTGTAAAAACCAGGAAGTACATTATTAATGACTTTTATTAGTTCTTTTATATTTATTACTAAAATATTTGAATATTTATGATTCATATCAAAAGTACAGGTTTTATGTTTTGCCTGAATTGTTTGAAATTTAATATACTAAAGGCTCTGCAAGACGATTTCCTCCTTGCTATTAATAAAATTGATATTTATAGACAGGGTTTCATAATGCTGATATTTTTATCTATTTTGCAAATGCTGACTGTCATATATAAAAATGTAACTTGGTGAAAATATTCTAGGAAGTAATACATTCAAAGTAGGGGTTGTTTTGGTTGCTTCTTTTTGAAATTTCATAGAGAAAAGATTTCTCACCTGAGACACTGCTTTCTCTTATGAGTAATACTCACCTTCGTTTTCGTCCCTGGCTTTTGTACTGATCTTCAATATCGCGATCTTCCCATTTTTTCCCTAAAAGTGCAGACCCAGAAACATCATTACAAAATATTAGAAATATATACGAGACGCATTTCTCATTGTGGGAGTATACAGCCTACCACATACCAAGGATTTATGGTGTAGCAAATTACTCCCAGGCTGCAAAATAGAAATTATAGAAAATTTAGTATATTCTACTTCTATGATGAGCTGTAGCTTTTTGCCAATGTCCTTCCTTCCCACGCTACACATCTTAGAATATGTTGATGGGTAAGAAACATTAGTCCTCCAAATGAAGAACTGAAGGGAACTTGTCATGCTCACCTATGGAGGCCAGGTTCCTGAAGGTTTCCCACATCACATCTCTGTAGAGTTTCTTCTGTGAAGGGTTCAGTAAAGCCCACTCCTCCAGGGTGAATATTACAGCCACATCTTTAAGGACAAATGAGCCCTATAACAGTTCATATATATGTAGAGTAAAATGACAGCACTGGACACCTATAACCCATTGAAGAGAAGGTTGCATATGATTCTGCCATCTCCAAACATTTATTCAATGACTGGACCATCTGAAACTTCCTCTCTGTCCACACTTTCTCCCTCATAACCTTAACACCATCATGAACACATGGAAATTGTTTACTCATTTTTAGTGTGATCTCATTACATTTTTATTTCTCTAACAGCAAAGTTCAGAGCATGTTGGGAAATGACAGAAATGCTATATAAATAAAACAAATATTACCATTTTAATATCATCAATGCATTGTGAGGAAAATTCATTCATTTTCTTCCTTATTACTCACAGAAGGTCAAACCTGAATTCAATGAATAAAATTTAGTTAAGAAATAGAAGCTTTCTGATCACCCAACATGAGAGTCCATGTGATCGTTGGTGACCCAAGTTTTAACGAGGTGCAGCTGGCCGAATCTCACAGTCTCCCAGGACTTTACAAGTGATCAGATGCATCTGGCTGGTTGAAAATAGTCCATTGAGAAGCACTGCTTTTACCTTGTGTAATGTTTACCTCAGTTTCAGTTCTTCCTTCCTGTTTCTCTACAATTTGATGAACTAAAATGTTAATCATGCCACTTACGGACAAGGAATCAACCTGAGATATGTATTGTTAGACGCATTTCTCATTGTGGGAGTATACAGCCTACCCCATACCAAGGATTTATGGTGTAGCAAATCACTCCCAGGCTGCAAACCTGTCAGTGCGTTATTGTACTGAATACTGCAGGCAACTGCAACACAAGTGTAAGTATTTGTGTATCTAGACAATGTCTTTCCTTCTTCTGTCATTTCCAAGGTCTGCTGTGAAGGGGCAAAATAACTTAACTCCTGGCCATAGAAATCCCTCAGCTGATGACACCACACGTTGCCAATAGGGTATGAAAGGGTTTATTACCTGTATAATTTAGGTCTCTGGGGAAAGTAAAGCAGGCCCCTCAAGCAGGCATGAAATAGCTTAGAGAGTAAGGAAAGGTGCGTGGACTTGTTTTACTAAGCTTGGGGGTGAGGGGAGGGGACTAGAGTTCACACACAAGGGCTGAGCTTGGGTGTAGTCAACCTCTTCCTATCCCAAAGGACAAAGTACTTTCTTGTCTTGGATCAATGTGGAGACAAAGAGGGGGAAAAGTTATGAAGTTTTAAAGCTGTCAGCAAACATCAATAATTAGAGTCAGAGACTTCGAGTTTCAGGGTTGGAATTTAAGTAACTTATGTCATTCCACCAAATACAGGAAAAAAGTTTAAAAAGTTAAAATGAACTTCTATTCTTAGATCCATAAGATAATTTACATCACAGGGCATCTGATGTTTCAAATATTGGGAAAGAGCAAATGGACATGACATTTTAAAATATCGCCCAAACATTCTGTTCTAAACATGACCAGTACTCAAATTTATCTCAGTGAAAAATAATGGAAAAACAACAAATAATCAAAAGGACAGAAAGCAATATCCATGAACCCTAGGACAACATTCTTTAAATAAAAAGTTTAAAACACATCATGGGAATACTTTTTTAAAAAGAAAGACAGAAATAAACAAATCAGTGCAGTCTCAATCACTAAAGTTTTCCTAAAATTAACAATAGACACCAAACAGTAAATTCAGGAAGTTCACAGGACACTAAACACGACAAACAACAAAAGTGCTCACTCAAGTCTCATATCAGATTAGACAAAGATTAAAGACAATATGTATTGAAAAAAAGCCAAAGGAGAAAATGCCTCACATATAAAAAACAAATATTAGAATATATCAACCTTCTCTTTGTGAATAATGTTAGCAAGAGAGTAAAACAATATATTCAAATTTTGAAAGAAAAAACCACTATCCTAGATTTGTGTCAAGAAAAATTATCCTTGAAAAATAAAGAAAAATAAAGATATTATGAGATAAAACTGAGGGACTTTGACATGAGGACACCTCCATTAAAAGAAACATTCAAAAACTTATCAGAAGAATATAAATAATTATACTTGTCAATTAAAAGCAAATAAAGATTAAATATATTTTGTATTTCTTATAATGTAACAGATGACACTTTGTTTAAAACAATACAGACTTAAATTTAAAATAATAATAAAAGGTCAATTCTCTAAGAAGGAGTATCAATTCTTTTTGTACGTGCCTAACAAAAAAGCAAAAAGCAAAAGGCAAAAAGAAATGGACAAAAGTACTTGTACAGTTGTCGAGTCCAACAACGCCCTACCCGGAATTATATCCTTACAGAGAGAATATCGCCAAGGACCGAGAAGCACTCAACCGTGCCGTGTGACAACCGATTTAATTGTAATCTATGAAATACTCATCCAGCAAGAGTGGAATACTCACTCTGCTCGAGTTCACCAAGCCAAAACTCATCCTGAAACATGAAACTCCCCTTAACAAATCTGAAAGAACACAAGTCATACAAAATATGGTCTCATGCCACAGAGGCATTGCGCTAGAAATCGATAACAGGATAGTGAGAAAATCCCCAAAAGTACAGTCATTTTAAAAGACACTCCTTGACACTCCAAATAATATAAAAATTCAAAAAAGGTGTCTCAAAAAATTAAAAAATTATTTTAAATTCCATGAAATAAAAATAAGACTTCAAAGTCGTGGGATGCAGCAAAAGAAATGCCCAAAGGGAAATTTATGCCACTGAACAAATACACCAGCCAAAAAAAAAACCAACAACAACTATAATCATTAGTGTGTGCACCTACCATATAAAGTAATAAAAGGAAAGGCCAATTAAACCTAAAGTAAGCAGAGTAAAATTATAAAATAATAATAAAAATTAGAAAGGTCATCAAGGTAATCGTGGGAAATCAATGAAGAAAATTCAAACAAAAATAGCTCCTTCTTTGACCAGATGAACAACATTCATAAATAGAACTAACTAAAGAGGGAAGCAGGAATTACAACATAAAACCATCCTCCATCGTGGGTAACTGCCGGAGGTATGAGAGCTGGTCACTGAAGCCTTATAATGAAGTGTCTCTGAGGACACGCCCAGGTGTGACTGCCGTGAAGGGTTCTAATGCTGATGGCACTGATTTAATTCTAATATTTATTTTGTATATGGAAGGCATTTTCTCCTCTGGCTTTTTTTCAATAGATATTGTTTGTTTGTCTTTAACCTTTGTCTACTTTAATATGAGACTTGGTGAGCACTTCTTTTGTTTGTCATGTTCAGTGTCTAATGCTGATGGCACTAATGGTGGAAAAAAGTTTACAGATACCAAGGCAGAGAGATCCCACACTATCTTGATCTTTATATATTTACCTAAAATATAAAAAAGGTAAGGGCATGAGAGAAGAGACAAGAAGAAAAAAGGTATTAAAAAACTGTATACAATTTGACCCAATTAGGAATCCAAAATATAGAGAAAGATTTTACATTAAAAAAAAAACAACAACAAAAGAGTAATGGGCACTCCTTGGATTTTGAGTCTATAAAAATAATTTTGAGTATTAGCTATCTTTTGTCTCAAGCTACCTGGGATCTCAATTAACTGAATCTAGGGATTTTATGATCTTAGGGAAAAGACTGAAAGAAAAGAGAAGAAAGGGATATACTTCACCTCAAAAATCAAAAATGTGCCTTGATTTGTGGTCATAAAACTCGCTCTCTTAAAATATCCATAGTGAGAAGGAAAGCTCTGAACAAATAATGCACAAGTTAAAATTCCATTAAATTCAGTCTTCACCACTTCCCAATTGGCTTCATAAAATGAGACGACATGGTCCTTATTCCCTAGTTATAATAGTAAGGATAGCCCAGTATAAATTGAAAACTGTTATAAGTAGCCTTTTAGGAAGTAGTGATTATTTCCACTTATACTATGAACAGCTGGATTTCGCCTGTTCTGAAATCTGGAAAGAATGAATGATTCCTCACACTGGATTACTGCAACCTGGAGGTTGTATTCATAACAAATAACCTGTATTTCCAGTTCCCAACATTATCGCAGTTCTACAAAAAGCCTACTAGAACTATGAAGTCTATTTAGTAAAGTTGCAAGATACGAAGTTATACAGAAATCAATGGATTTCTACATTGATAACAAATGATCAGAAGGAAAATTAAGAAAACAATTTTATTTACAATTACATCAAAAACATAAAAGACCTAAAAATAAATTCGACTAAATTTGCAAAAGGCCTATACTCTGGAACCTATAAAACACTGATGAAAGAGATTGAAAAAAAACACACATATGTGTAATAATATATCATGTTCATGGATTGGAAGAATTAATACATTTAAAGTGTCCATCATACTCAAAGCAACCTACAGATTCAATTTGTTCATATCAAAATAATAATGGCATTTTTCAAAGAAATAAAAATAATCCTAAAATTTTGATGGAACCACGAAAGACCCCAAAGAGTCAAAGAAGCCTTGAGAAAGAACAAAGCTTAGGTATCACACTCACTTATTTAAATTTTTACTAGAAAGCTTTTGTAATCAAAATAGTAAGATACTGTCACAAAAACTGAAAAATAACTAGGACAGAATAGAAAGCAAAAAAATTAACCCAAGATTATAAGGTCAACTAATGTACAATAAAAAAGGGAGAAATATACAATGCAGCAAAGACAGTGCCTTCAATCAATGGTGTTAAGAAAACTGGACAGAAACATGCAAAGAATTGAAGATGGATCACTTTCTTACACCATAAACAAAAATAAACTCAAAGCAGATTAAAGAATTAAATGTAAAACCTGAAATCATAAAACTCCTAGAAGGACTCATAATCAGTAAGCTCTTTGAAAACAGTCTTAGCAATATTTTCTTGGATATGTCTCCCCAGGCAAGAACAACAAGAGCAAAAATAATCAAACAGGAGGACATCAAATAAAAGTTTTTGCACTGTAAAGGAAATCAACAAAATGAAAACACAACCTATTGAATGAGAAAAAATATTTGAAAATGATATGTCAGATAAGGACTTAATAACCATACTATATAAAAGCTCATACAACTCAACATCAAAAAAAATCTAATGAAAAAAAATGAACCTGATGGAAAAAAGAGACTCTGAACAGACATTTCTACAAAGACATACAGAGAAGCACAGACATATGAAAAGATGCTCAACATCACTAATCATCAGGGAAATGCAAATCAAACCACAATAAGATACCACCCAAGACCAGTCAGACGGCTGCTATAAAAATTCAAAAGTAACAAGTATTGGCAAGGATGAAAAGGAGCCCCTCGTGCACTGTGGGTGAGGCTGTAAATTGGTGCAGCCACTATGGAAAACTGCGTGGAGGTTCCTCAAAAAATTAAACGTAGTACTACTATATGAGCAAGGAATTCTAATTCCAGGAATTTATATGAAGAAACCAAAAACACTAATTCAAAAAAACATATATGTACCCCAAGATTTATTGCAGCATTATTTACAATAGCTAAGACAGAAGCCACCTACGTGTCCATAGGTAGATGATTGAATAAAGAAGATCGGGTGTTTACATATAATGAAATACTGCTCAGCCATAAAAAAGTGAATGAAAGTTTGCCATTTGTGAAACATGGAAGGACCTAGATGGCATTATTCTCAGTGAAATGAGTCAGCTAGACGAAGACAAACATTGCATGTGGAATCAAAAAATAAAATTAAAAAATTAATAAACAAAACAGAAACAGGGTCATAGAAACACAGAATAAACTAATGGCTCCCAGAGGGAATGAAGGCAAAGGGGATGGATGGAAAAGGCAAAAAGAAATAAGGGGTACAGATTTCCAGTTATAAAATAAATAAGCCACAGGGAGGTAACGTACTACACAGATAATACAGTCAGTGATGTAAGATCGTATGGTGACTAGATGTATTATGCTGGTGGTCACATCACAAGGCGAGTAAATGCAAATCATTGTGCTACATACCTGAAAATAATATATTATATATCAAATACACTTTAATAAAAGATAAATTTTAAAGATTTTTTTTAACTCAGTAAAAAAACAAATCCTGTTCTTTAAGGAGTGACAATCTGATGTAGACTTAACTCAAAGGGTATCATCATCCTAGTACCAGCCCCCACCACCCGTGAGAACTCAGCTTTCAACTTTTCTCTAAACACACAGATAGAGGTTCCAATCAAGATATCGACTCAAGTAGATGAGTGGATAAAAGACCTGTGGTACATTTACAGGATGGACTATTGCTCAGCTGTAAAAAAAAAAAGAAAGAAAGAAAGAAATCTTACCCTTTGCAACAGCACAGATGGTTCTAAAGGGTGTTATGCCAAGTGAAATAAGCCAGTCAGAGTGGCTTACAAGGACCATATGATTTCACTTATATGTGGAATTTAATGAACAAAATAAACTAACAAAATAGAAACAGACTCAGAGATACAAAGAACAGCCTGAGAGCGGTCAGAGGGGAGGGGGGTTGAGCACTTACCAGAAGGGAAGGGTGAATGGGGGAAGGAAGGCGAGGGGAAAGGGGGGGAAACGGTGATCGGAGCCTTGACTTGGGGTAGTGAACACACAGTATAATATACAGGTGATGTATTATAGAATTGTGCACTTGAAACCTACACAATTTTATTAACCAATGTCACCCCAATAATTTCAATTAAAAAAAAAAAACATTGACTCAAAACCACTGTAAGGAGGGCCCTATTCCCATACTCATGCTCCCAAAAATACATCAAAATTTACATCTCCGAGTACCTTGTATACAGAACCCAGGCTTGGCAGTGTCAACAGTATAACACAAGACAGCGGGGCTCACAGAAGCGCCCCAGAAACAAATAGTGCACAGTCCCTAATGCTCCCAGCTTTCCGATCCGCCTGTCCAGGTAAGAAGTGCTAAGGGAGGCAGTGGAGCCAGGCAGCAGGGCACGCAGACACGCTGATGGGCAAACCGCTGCGGACCCGCCGAAGCCTGGCAGCGCACTCACGAACCCATTGGCCAGCGGATTTAGAAGCATGTGCCTGGTGTTCGCGCTGCACCCTGGACATGGTTACAGTCTGACTGCAAATACAGCCCCCAAGTTTGCCTGGACAGCTCCCCATGCATACTGGTACCTTTAACTGTTTCGGGAAGACTTTTTAGAAAGAGCATCAAGGGGGCTATCTCATGGCACAGCCACCCTCATCACCCGGGTCACCCCCATGTTTGCCGCGTGCTTCTTTGGGTTTCGCTCGGGCGTGAAACGGCAACAGAAATGCTTGAAACGCACCGAAGGACAAATAGTTGATGATGCGGTGACTCAAAGAGGGATAGTTATTTGGCTTTGGGATTTGGTGAAAGAATCTAAAAATGTAGGGACTTGTTGCCAGTCCTAGTAATGGCCACTATGGGAGGACGGGGTTGTGGACTGGAGACTCCGCTTCCCAAACATTTGAAAAACTCAAGAGAAAATCGGTCTCCCTGAAAAGGACTAGGGACCACAGACAACAGCAGCTCCAACGCACGAACCCCAAAGGCTGAGTCACGATTGTTCCCTTGGACCCTCCTCGTGGTCACCTCACCATCTGGGGAGACACGAGGGCTGCGGGCGCAGAGCGGCCCAGAGAGGGTCCTGGCTGAAGTCGCCCTGCGGAGAAGGGACCGGACGCTCGGGGTCCCGTCTAACAGCCCAGCCCCCACGTGCGAGTCAGTGGGGAACGACATTGTAACGGCGCCCGCACGAGGACTTGGGCGCGCAGACTCTGGACTTGACCTAGGGGGACCACATCCCAGCCGCAGCCGATTCCAGTCATTTCCTCCTCCTCCCAGTCTCTGCACCTAGCGTGGCACACTCACCATTTCTAGGTTTCCTCGGTCTCCCTAAGTCCTTCCTGTCACTCCAACCACCTGTGAGATCAGAAAGCGACAGAGACTGTTACGGCAGGGACCACACGATCATCACCCACGGAGGAACTGAGTTGGGACTTCTACACCTGTGCGCTGCGTGGCCCCACCCATCTGTCCCAGCGGCTATCGCGATTGGACAGAAATCAGTGCCCATCCCCTTCATGCGTGATTGACAGAACCGAGAAGGACCACACGGGAAGGAGCTCCCCCAGCTTCGGGCTCCGGGACGCTCCTTTCTCTTCCTGGCACTTTCAATGGAACTCTTTCCTGGCCTGGGGCTGACTGTACTGTATTCACCCAGTTCTTTGCGAACACGTGGACACAGGTGTGCACGGGAAACGCCTGAGTTTCCAAATGGAGCTAGTATAAATAACACTGCTTATAAAATTCCTTAATGGGAATTTTGTACAAGTATTTGTTCAAACATGTTTTCTTTCTTTTTTCTTTTTTTTTATGGGGATATACCTAGAAGAGGAATTGATAAGTCATATGGCATTTCCAGCTTTAATTTTTAGCAGTCTGCCAGACTGTTTTCCAAAACCGTTGCACCATTTTATATTTTGCTCCACCGGTATATTGGGTTCAATATTCCACATAAACTCAACGTTTGTTATTATCTAACATTTTGATTCTAGCAATCCTAATGATTGTGAAGTGGTGTCTCATTGGGGGTTTGAGTTGCATTTTCCATTTTCTTTTTTTTGTAATTTTACTTATTGATTTTGAGAGAGAGAGACATCAGTTTGTTCTTCCACTTCATTGGTTGATTCTTGTGTGTGCCAGCAAATGTGGCATATCTGGATGACACTCTAACCACTATTTGGCCAGGACAGAGTTGCATTTTCTGATGACACCAATGTCAAGCATATTTTCACGTGCTCTTGGCCATTTGCATAACTCCCTTGGAAAATGTGTATTCGTATTTTTTAACATTTTTAATTTGAGTATTTGACTTTATATTTAAATTATAAAGGGTTTTTAGTCATTTTCTACACAAGTCTATTATCTGCTCTATAATTTGCGTTATCTTTCATCTGTAGGCTGTGTTTTAACTCCCTTGCTGAACATTTTTACTTTAAATTGTGATGATATGCACATACAATAAACTTTGCATTTTAACCATTTTTTTAAAAGATTTTTTTTATTTTTAGAGAGAGGGGAAGGAAGGGACAATGAGAAGGGAAGGAAGGGACAATGAGAGGGAAAGAAATATCGATGTGAAAGAAAAATATCCATGGATTGCCGCTCCTACACACCCAGTCTGGGACGGAACCAGAAACCCAGTCATGTGCCCCGACCGGAATCAAACTGGTGACTTTTTCTCAAATGTGCAACCAACCGAGCCACACCGGCCAGGGCCACATTAACCATTTTTAACCATATAATTCAGTAGGGTGAAGTGTATCGGTCTCCAGAACTATTTCTATTTTGCAAAACAGAAAATCTGTCTCATTGACACAACTCCACATCCAATCGTTACCCCAGTGCCTAGAACCAACAATTCTTTTTGTCTCTATAAATTTCCCTACTCTAGGTACCTTATACCAGCGAAATTATATAATATTTGACCTTTTTAACAGAATAATTTCATTTAACCTAATGTCCTTAAGGTTCATCCATGTTGTAGCACGTGTCAGGATTTGCTTTCTTTTGGAAGCTAAAATACTAGGTTTTGTGCATACACCAAATGTTGTTGATCGCTTAGGTTACTTCTACCTTTTGACTACTGTAAATAAGATTACTATGAATATGGGTGGACATATAACTGTTTATTCCCCTTTTTTCAAATCTTTCAGGTACTTACCCAGAAGTAGAATTGATAGATCAGATGGTAACACAGTTCCTAATATTTTGAGAAACTGCCATGAATTTTTCATACCTGCAACACAATTTTATACTCCAAGCAATAGGGTGCAAAGTTTCCAATGGGTGTTTTCACTTTGTTTTTCTCCTTTAAAACACAAAAACCATTAATTTGAAGAAGTCCCAATAATTTTTTCTTCTGAATTTACTCTTAGTGTTATATCTAAAAATTCTTTGTCAAATCGATGATCAGGTTTATTTCCTATATTTTATCTAAGTGTATTATAGTTTTAGTCTTATATTTAAGTCTTATCCTTTTTGGAAAAGTATTTTATGTGGTATGATAATGTACCGCCTCTTTTTATTTCATCTTGCTAGCCACCCGGCCCAGCACCAATTTATGCAAGGAATATTCTTTTCTCCATTCTTGGCCCTTGACACTTCTTCCAAATACCACTTGACCATAGATGTGGGGGCTTATTTCTCAAATCTTAATCTACTTTGTAAATCTGTAGGTCTCTCATTGTGTCAGTACAACACCTTCTTGATTACATTTGCTTTGTACTAAGTTTTGAAGTCAGAAAATATTAGTCAACAAATTTGCTCCTCTCTTTCAAGAAGGGTTCGGCTATTTTGATTCTGGAAAATTTCATATAAGTTTATAAACCTCCTTGCCAATTTCTATAATAAAATTATCTGGTTTATGATAAGTACTGTGCCGCCTGTTCTGATTACCCTGAGGAGCAGCAGTACCACTTCACTGAAGTCTCTTCATCTATGAAGATGGAAATTTTCCCAAGTACTTTGGGTGATTTCCAAAGTATTTATATCCGTTAATTTCTTTCCATAATGTTTGTATTTTTCATAGTACTTTCTTTTCTTAAATTTACTTTTTAGTATTTGATTCCTCATATGCTATTATAAATGCATTTGGTTTTTTTTCATTATAAGAATGTTCATTGCAAAAATACAACTGATTTTTATATTTTGACTTTGTATCCTACAACATCGCACAACTCAATCATCAGTTCTAATCCTTTTTGGTTTTTTGGTTTGGTTTTTTGTTGGGTTTTTTTTTTTTTAATTCCTTAGAATTTTCTATATGCAAATGTAGGGATAAGGCAGAAAAAGAAAGAAGCTAGAAAAATTCTTTGGCAAGTAGAATGGAGAAAAAGACAGAGAGCTGAACAAACTGCCAAGCAATCTATAGCCAGATGCAGACGGTCACCTCCCTAGAGATAACATCTAGGCCTCAGAAGTATTCTAGCTCCAGGACAAGAAAAGCAGCAAAACCAGGTTGGCAATGCCAGAACCAGCTACAACTACTAATGACCCCTTCTGAAAATTCATGCCTGAAAAAGCTGATGAATATTCTATTGAAACCCTTCTCTAAGTTACCAGCCTTTAAAAACTCTTGTAACAAAAAACTCTGCTTTTACTCCCCCTCCCAGGGGTACACCCCAGCCTTTCTTTTCCCCCTTCTTCTTCCCTCCCGGGCCTGCGTCTCTGAAACTCTAAGGGACCCCACCAGACTTGTAACCAGGGGAGCACTGGGCAGCGGCAGCTCACCCCAGGGCAGCCCCCTAAACCTGTCTCCAAGGCCCTCTTTTCTTTGACTTCTCAGTGAACCAAAGCAGCCTTGCCAAGGCTCTCTTCTTGCTTCTTCTACGTTAGGCCCTTCCTTGTTTCACTGTCACCAGCTTAAATAAATTCACTCTCAAAATCGCCTGGACTCCTTTTGTGAAATCTTCCCTGTGCAAAACCAAGGACCCACACGCTACCAGCCAGCACAAGGCTGGCCCACTCAGGGCCAGGTTCCCTTTCTGGTAGCAGGGACAGGCAATTTTTCGTTTTTCTCTTTCCAGATTCTTTGCCTGGTCTAATAAATAAAATGACATAACACAAAATAAGAAAAATTAATTACATAAGACAAAATAACCAAAAAATTAATTTCTTATAGATGGGAGACCAATCAAAAAATAAGACTCAAAGAAGCAACCATAGCAGTGAGGCAGGAGATAGTCAGGAAGGAGGAAACTCCAGAGGCGCCCCGGGAGATAAAGAACATGGATAAAGGGCAGAGACCCTGTCCTAAGTCTGGTGGTTTCTGCATCTGGAGAAGCATTGAATCCTAGAGAATCAGGACTGCCCCTGCGCAGAAGATGCTCCCTGACCCCTGCTTCATTATAATGAATTAGCATTGTGGGACCCTCTTCCCAGGAGCCAATCAAGGAAAGGGAGGCCCACCCTAAGGAATAAAAGTCCTCTAGCCCCTGAGTGCCTCCCTTTTTTGCCCTGCTCCAGCTGCCCCTGCTGCTGCTGCTGCTGCTGCTGCTGCTGCTGTTAGGCTCTTCTTTCTTTGTTCCACTCTGCTCAGAGTTGGCCTGTTCCCATGTTCTGTGTGGCTTAATAAATCTGCTTTTCCTTGCTTTCTGCTATAAACTGTGTGTTCGGTTCAATTTTTTGTCCGCAATCACCAAGAACCTGGTTACCTGTGCCCACCTGTGACAGTTTTTGGCGAGCCAGCCAGGAGTAGACACCAGAGCGGTAAGCCCCTTTGCTTCCCTGCCATTCAAGGATGCCCCTTTCTATTGCCATTTATTCTGTTTTGGTGAGTCTGATGTTCCCTGATGGAAGGTCGGCCGCTAAATTGCGGGCATGGGTCGGGCTGTTAAAAGCCACAAGGGCGCCCGCCGCTTGAAGATACCCGTGATAGGATAACCTGGGTGCAGAACGGCGTTAGTCTTAGTCCCCGCCAGGTGCAAGAAAATGTCCGCACACCAGTCAGGCACACTGTGAAAACCATAACACACTGCCCCACCCTGCGGCCGCTCCCTCATAGGCACGGTTTGACCTTCCACACGGGATATCAGTCACCACCTTGCCTGTGCTATGATTCCCTTGTTCAGTCTCCTCAGCAGGTCCACAGAGAATCTTTTATGCTTGTCCTCAATTAGTTTTGGCCTTTCTACCTGCACCCATATTCCACTTGCCTCTTTGTTTCGGTAGGGTTC